GGGGGGGGGGGGGTGTACAGAGATGTATCCTCCATGTTCAGAGCTGAAGCCTCCCTTTAGGTCCCGCACTGCAAACACTTCCAGTCAGCAAATAGCAGCTGCAGTCTTCCTCCCAGCCTATGGCAGCTGAGGTGGGCGGAAGAGGCTGCAGGTGGCCGGAGTGAAGGGAAGATAGCTGAACTGATTCTTCTCCTCCTCGGCCGCTCTGTAGCTGTGCAGCGGTTGAGGAGGAGAAGAATTCCCTTCACAAGGAAGAACTAAACGATTGATCGCCGCTGCAGAAGCGTTTCACCCGCTTGGTCCTGCAGGCGGCGGCCCCCCCCCCCCCCCCCTCCCGGGCGGCGCCCCCCCCCCCCCCCCCGCCCCCGATGAATTTCCACTCACCTACCACAATTTTCACTCGCCAATTGCAAGGGGGAGAGTGGAAATTTTGTGCCCTGCTATATACTGTATAAAAGATAATTTGGTCAAGTTGGAAGGTTATGATGTTAAAAATCCTACATATGCTCTCAATGTTTGGAAAGAGAAAACTTTTTTTATTTTGTATAGAGTGGGGCAGGGTAAGAGACCTTATGCCAAGTTTTTCTTTGTGGTTTGTGTCCCCGCTGTCGACATTATTCCTTTATTGGACCTGACGACCACTGTCACTGTAACAAAAAGTAAGGGGAAATCCTACAGTGTTTTCAAGACAGAACGTGAAGGGAAATCTCCCTAGAAAGACAGACCGCTAAATAATAAACTGGTTACTCTTCTCTTCTGTATCCAAAACTTTAAAAAAAAGTTTGGTTATACATACACTTTAACAACATAGGATGTGCCTGTGCATCCTGGTTTTGGTTATACCAAGATCACAGCTGCTCCTGTTGCAGCTGTGATCTTGGTATAGTTTTTTCCAGCAGGCAGAGGGTTTCAAAGTAGACGTGATATACTGTAGAACCATCCAATCACCAAGGAACCAAGGTAACTGTAAACTTGTCGCACCTATAGGGAGGATGTCAAGTCTTCCATTAAGCAAATCTCCTTCACCCTACTCGGCCACGTTGCCAATGATGGCGGCGAAGACTGTTTCCACTGAGCTGGAATACAAGCCTGAGCCGCATTCACCAGATGGATCAACAAATAATTACTGTACATCGTAATTGAGTGGGATGTGGAGGAGGCAAGCAGCAGGGTCTAGAGGGAGGCCGACATCTGTAATGTTATGAATGAGGTCAGTCACCCTCCAGGCCTCCACCAAAAGGGCCATATATGGGGACATTCCCAAAATATATGAAGAAGAGAACCTGTGTATTCAGCACAATGCCTACATATGCAGGATGTCGAAGGGTACATTTTATGCAGGAGAGTCTGAACCCTTGAGTGTATTTTTTCCTAAAACATTGATTGGTTAATCTTTGCGCAAATATTCGTAAAAAAATTACAGCTACCATTTTTTTAATTTTACAGGGCCTCTGATTTCATAAAATATATAATTGTTTGGGGGTTTAAAAATAAAGTAATTTTCTATCCCAGAATTCAGATTTTTACATGTGTGAAAAATGAAAAAATTGCTCAGATACAGAGGTGGTTAAGCCTGCCATACACATGGCAATTGTCAGTCTATTTAAACCACTTTCAATCCACATGGAATCATAAATACAATCAAAAGTAATTGTCAGAAACTAAGCAATATATGACCCTTGAGTTTGAATAAACAGCAGAATTCGGCCTTTTATGTAGTCTAAATCAGGCGATAAGTTAGCAGTTTTAACAGTTTATCAAAAGAATCCAAAACAGAAAAAGCTATAGCCATTTTATTAGAAAATGATTGGATTTTTCTACTGGTTTTGATCACAGCGCATTCGATCCCATCTCCTTAATTTTTGATTGCTTTGTGACTTTTATGAGTAATCTTTATTAGACTTTTTCAAAAAGGTGCACAAAAAAATGAAAGCATAGTTGGTAAAAGTTTACATATAACATTGCTTTGCGATTTTGACAAAGAAATGGAATCAAAGTGTGATTTCTCTATCAAATTACCATACCATATGTATGGCCAGCTTTATGTACCCTTCACACACAGCTAACTCTCACTGCAGACTCTATGGTCTCCAAACAGAATTTAACACATACAATAAACCTAGCATTAATTTACTCAAGTGAAAGCCGATCTAAGCTTACATCATTATTTTTTCCTAACAGTATAATTAGAGATTCGATATCACTTCATTCTCTGAACATGCTCTTTTTTCCTGCTTCGTCCAATCAAATTTCTTTGCATAGATTTCCAAGTAGAGAAATGGCATATCTCTTTTTATCTTTTCTACAATTTTAGATTAGATTATTTTGGCTGCTCATTAAACTGCATTCATAAAATTAACTTTAGTCAATATTAGGGATGAAGTATGAAATACCTGCTTATGTATTAAGTATCAAAATTGAATGTTTTGTGTCTCTTGATTTGACACCAATTGACAGTTTTTTCCTGAATATTTTCTCCACTTTTTTCTGATTTTGTTACTTTCATATATTGACTATGCATTTTACCTGGATTTTTACAATTTCCCTATGCTTAGAAAGGAATGAGCAGTTCAATTCTGGAAATAAAATTCAATCGTTTTTTTCCGCTTTACAAATAGTAAAAATCACTATGCCACTAGGGAAGTCAGAAATGGAAAAATATTTGGGGGTCATTGTAGACCACAGACTGAATAATAGCTTGCAGTGCCAGGCTGCTGTAAACAAAGCAAGTAGAGTCCTGTCCTGCATTAAGAAGGGAATGTATTGCAGGGACAAGTCTATAATTTTGCCACTTTACAGATCACTGGTTCAGCTTCATCTGGAGTATGCAATCCAGTTTTGGTCACCAGTCCACAGAAAGGATGTCCTTGAGCTGAAAAGAGTCCAGCAGAGGGCAACCAAACTCATTAAGGAGGACCAGAGCTATGAGACAAGGTTACTAAATTTAGAAATGTTCTCATTGGATGTAAGGAGATTAAGGGGGGACATGATTTTCCTGTACAAAATGTTCAATGGTGATAGCAACATTAGCCACAAACTCTTTACGATTAACTCCATAACAAAGACTAGAGGCCCCCATCTAAAATCGGTGGAGAAAAAATTTCAGCACAAGGGGCAAAGGGGGTTCTTCTCAGTTAGAGCGGTTAGGGTCTGGAACTTGCTGCCACATGCAGTGATTTTAGCCAAGCATGTGGAATCGTTCAAGAAGCTTTTGGACGATTTTCTTAGGGACCGTAATATACAGGGGTACAGGTACTCTTAAGAATGAGATCACACAAGGACCTATACATACGCACACATCAGCAGAACCATATACATGCACACAATAGGTTGGACTCGATGGACTTATGTCTTTATTCAACCTCAAATATTATGTAATAAAAGCTAAATAAGCATATGACATTAAAGTGCACAGCCTGATTTACAGATGAATTACCTACACCTGTTGCTTGGGTGACATCTGAAAGTTTGGTTATTTCCTTCTATTCTGTCTTGGTGGCAATGATCACACAAACAGAAAGGTATATCTTCTCAATGGGGACACATACATCAATAAAAACGTGAGAAAGGATCTAACCTTGCCTATACTATGTAAAACAGCAAACACTTTACATAAACTTTAATACATACATATTCTTACAGACATTGAACCTGATTTTTGCCATAGCATTTAGCATTTGATAATGTTATCTGTTTTTTTGTCAGTCAGGTGACTATGGCAGAATGTCACTTAAAGTGTGCACCTTCTGGCTCAATGCAAAGAAGATCTGAATGCTAAATAACCTGATATTGTACAGGTTATTTTGAGCATTTTTTAGTTATCAGAATGTCATGTCTTTATGCAAAATATATAGTTAAAAAATATTTTGACAACAAAACTGTGATCTCTATAGGTTTTAGAGAATTATCAGTTAAAGGGTGAAATATCAACTTGTGTGTGTTCAGGTCTTGTGTATTCAGTCTATCGATGGTTGCAGGAGCAGTATCTGAGCACTCACCTCTGCTGTGTCTGTGCTGGATGCTCTGTTAGGCCAGTCTGAACAGTCTGAGCCCTGTCAAGATTTTTAATTGAAGACCCTGGTCTCCGCAGAGTGACAGCATTATGGAATCACGACACCCCTACAAATTCACTGAATGCCAGAGAGATCGAGAGAGGAGCAGTGCTTTGTGTTTTGATGAATGCATGGAAGGGGAAAGGGATATTCTGCACCTGTCTTTTTTTTGTTCTGAGAACAATGCTGTTATAAAAATTCTAGTAATTTTAATCCTGAGCACTATTGTGGGATCGGAATGCAGAAGGTTTATAATCCTGTGCCAGGGGGAAAAAAACAATTGCTGTTACAGGATTCAGACACACGTAGCCCTTATAGCAAAAAGATGTTATAGAAGATTTATGTCATACCAAAAATGTTAGATTTGGTACTCAGAAAGGGTTTAGAGAAGAATATTCTCACTTTTTCTGTGTATTATTTTACTTGAAGAGTATTATAGGGCTAACAGTCCAAATAAGAGCATATTAGGAAGCAGATACCGTATTTTTCGCTCCATAAGACGCACTTTTTTCCCCCCAAAAGGAGGGGGGAAATGTGCCTGCGTCTTATGGAGCGAATGCCGACGCCCGAGACATGCAGTTTGGGGCGCCGGGCGAGTAGTAGGAGCCACTGCTCGTTTAATACGAGTGATCTAATGAGATCACTCGTATTAAAGCCGAGCAGCGGCAGCGATCGTATTCAGCAGTAGGAGCCACTGCTCGTTTAATACGAGTGATCTAATGAGATCACTCGTATTAAAACCGAGCAGCGGCGACGATGGAGATCACCATAGAGCAGACGAAGAACGGACTTTCTTCGTCTGCTCTGTGTGATCACTGAGACCGTGGCGCTGTAATCACAGCGCCACCTGTCTCAGCAGTCACTAACTGCAGCTTCTGTCACAGCTTCTGTCATAGAAGCTGTGTCAGAAGCTACAGTCTGTGGAGTGCTCCATAAGGCGCGCCGGACCTCCCTGCGTCCTATGGTCCGGTGCGTCTTATGGACCGCAAAATACGGTAATTTTTATCTATTATCCCTTCTGCAAACTGCCAATTATTATTCTGGGTTTAATTGATAACATCACCTGCAGACATGTGGGAATATTTTTTTAATCCAGCTGCATACACTCAGATCAGTGATAGTTCAGATTTCTATAGACCCTTATCTGTGCTTCCTGTCCAAAACAAATGAACCCTATTGCTTTCCACCAAAACAGCTAGCACCCCAGCACTCTTCTTCACAGGAAAACAAGCAACTGCACCCAATGCAAGTTTCCATGCTTCTATACCCATTATTACTGGAAACACTTGATGCGCAGCCACCATCTAATGTAGTAAGCATTTTAAACAATAAATAGTCTTTGTAAACATTTCTCCAAAATGGCTACTAATCAAGTTTTTACCTTCAATATGAACATCAACACTTTTACTATTTTTCCGTGTCACTGTCATGTTTTTGTACAATATTAGACACATTGATGAAGTATGATACTCATGGTGCTAGCCTTCATTAAAGTGACACTAAACTCAGGAGTTAAACTTAAAAATGCATTCAAGTACCTTAACTATTATCAAAAATGTATCTTTTATGTGTGTATAACTCAACTGTAGATCCTCGGATCATCTCCGACACTGTCCTTCCTTCTGGAGGGTGACTACGTTTGTCCCCCATGGTCCCTGTGTGTGTTGTAAAGTAGCCACCACTCCAAGCTTGCTCTCGTGACAGACTACAATCTCACGCTTAGTGTACTAATTTGTACTGAAATTATAGTCTCTCATGGGAGCGATCTTGAACCGGTGGCTACTTTACAACACACATAGACTTTGGGGAACACAAGTTGCCACCCTCCAGAAGGAAGAACAGTGTCACCACCAATTCAGAGGTGATTTCAGGATCTACAGCTGAGTGATACACAAATAAGCTACATTGTTGTTGATAGTTAAAGGAGAACTATGGGGTTAAGACTTTCCCCCATAGTTCTCCCTAGGGTAATGGGAGGACACAAACTAGCGTCCTCCCGTCACCCTAGGCTCAGTATACCGCGAGCTGCGGTATACTGAGACGCCGCAGCTGAAGCGGATCCCGACAATTATGTCTGGATCCGCCCAGCTGCGTGACTGACAGCTGGCTCTGCCTATCTAGAGGCAGAGCCAGCTGTACCCGCCCCCTCCCCAGTCCTTTCCGCCAGTCAGCGCTGGCGGATCGGAGGGGGGAATGCAGCCCCTCCCCTGTCACGGCAGAGAGCCGTGACAGGACCGAGAGGGGAGCGAACGCCAGTATATGTTCACTCGCCTCCCGATCTACTGAGCCGACCTGTGACAGTCTCATTGTCACAGGTCAGCTAGAATTATGAGGTGAGTGAAAAGCACTCACCTCATAGTTCTCCTTTAAGGTACATGTATGCATTTTTAAGATTTAACTCCCGAGTTTAGTGTCACTTTAAATGTAGACATGGCCATTTACTTTATTTTTGTCATTCATAGATTTCTTATATTAGCTGAGGAGTGTGTATGCAGTGGTTAGCACCTTAGCATTCTACAAAGCACAATCATTTTCTGTTCTATATCTTTCAATATGACAGATATGTGTTTGATGTTCTAATTACAATGACAATGATACTTACAGTATATGTAAAGTATAAACTGACAGTGAATGGCAACAGTACAATATTGCCACAGTCAGACAAATGTTCAATTTTCTTGCAAGCATAACATAACCCAAAAACAAAAATGTAATATTGAAGTTTCAGTCCTTGCATGGGGTGGTTGTATTAGTTTTTCTAGGCTTCTTTCCCTTTATTTCCGAATAGTGATTTTTACCAGTAACACCCTCCCAGTCCCAAGATGATAATACTCACTCACCCTTCTGTATCAGGACAACAGAATCAGATAGGACTATGGAAATTCATTCCTCTCCTATTGTTCATAACATTGAGGGTCATGGTTATGTAGTCAACAGAGAACCATATTATTGATAACAGTCTGTACAGTACATTTTCAACTAACAAGATTTCCAGGAAGATCAACAGCTATTTTTTAATCATCAAACAGATCTAACTAAAAGCTTTCATAGGTATACTTGAAGCTGAATTCCTTCCAAATCTGTATAGTAATCCAGCAAAAAGCAACTCCTGCACTTTGCTTCTGTGTAGGAGTTTCCTGTCATAAAGACTAGAGATGAATCTGGATTTGGTGCAAACCCAGTTTGCCTGAGTTCAGCCAAACCCACTCAGAACTGTGACCGCCACTACCCCCTCCCAGGTGGCAGCAGTTGTAACTGGGGCATTCCCCGACATATAGTTTCGGGGTGGGCAATGCACATCTCCACAACTGATTGGGTTGGCAGGAGGGGGGTGGCAGTCACACTTTTTGAGAACTTAGGTGAACTGGGTTCACACGAAGCTCAGGCTCATCACTAATAAAGACCATTCACTGCTGCTCTCTCTCCTTGTGCAGGGTGAATGGTCTTGTATCAGCCAACTGTAGATTTCTGCAGACACCCTGTAGTGGGTTTATATCCTACGTGACCGCTAAGGAATATATTTCAAAGAAACTTTTATGCCCACAGCTTTAACAGACCAATACCCTGGTCATTGTTAGGGTTTACATACACTTTAATTCTGTACCAGGAATTTCTCTGCGCAATATTCCACATTTAAATGATACTCAACCACATGAATTAGATCACAGCCTCCATAGACATGCTGAGTTTATCACCAGCTGTCTCTGTCCGTTACTCCATGTGGATTATGGCACATCAATTCTTCCACATCAGCTGGTGTTCCTATTTTTGCAGTTAGCACATCTGAGTATTGTGTTATACACATGTCCTTTGAGGCAAAGTGTATTGTGTAATGAAGTCATTAGAAAATAATTTATATTTGTCTTCATTTTAGACACAGACACCACACTATAATAAGATTTTAATTGTTTTAAATTGTGTTAGAAAATCTATAAGACGTTTGTCTGACGTGACATCAGCTATCATTTGTGGAGCCTTTTGAGAGCCACTTTTTTTAAAAGTATTGTACATAAAATAATGTAGAAAAGGGTTAGGCAACATAACAATTTTGATACAGCAGATTTCTGATGGTTATCAGTAATAAGTAAGTATTGGAAAGCGATAAAGTTTAAAATGCGGACATCATCTGCTGGTTCTTCACTTTAATAAAGCTCAGAGATCTATTACAGGAGGGAAAGCTCATACATGAGAATGCCATCCCATCAGATGTTGCCAGACCATGTTCCCTGGCCACAAACATCTATTTTTGGTCCGTGGGGGTAGGGGTTCTACTTGTAGATATTGTGCCACCATGTTGTTGTTGACATCCTGCTTACTATCTAATCTATGTCATATCACTGTCACATTGTATGTGCCATTGGTGTCACTAGGCCCAGGCAGGCACCCAGGATCTACACCTTTTATGTCCTGGGTCAGTGACATCCACACTTTACCTAGGTGGGAATCCCTTAGTACTTCAGATTGTGTCACCTGTGGCTATGAAGAAGCACCTCCAAAGTGGTAAAGTTCCCTATACAGATCTATACGGAGTGGTACAGAGGAGGGAAATTCTCCAAAACACATCCGTGGCTCTGCTGTGTCTCATGACACAATTATAGGTAAGCATGGATGGAACGGAGAAATTTGTGGTGTGGGTTGTATTTTTGCTTGGAGAAGTAAAGGAGAAATTTGTGCTTGTAGGATATTTTGGAATGGTGAGGGGTGAGGGAGGTATGAGATTTGTGGGGAAATAGGATTTTGCTTTGTAGGTGGGCTATGGAAAGGGGGAGATTTGTGTGGGGGAAACATTTTTGGTTTTGGTGTATATGGGGGGGGGGGAAGAGACTTTAATTTTGTTCAGAGAAGCAAGAAAATAGTTTTGCTTGGGGGTGCGGGTTCTGCTTGAGAATGTTTTTGTTGGGATGGAGAAAAGCATATATAATTGAAAAGTTTTTTTGTAAAAAAAAAAGCATTGTGCTGATGTTCATGTGAGTCTGTGAAA